TTACCCATCAAAAATTTGCTCAAACCTAATGCGCCACTAACAAGAAATCGGTTAATAGGTTTTTTTGTCCTCATATACATATGTAAAACAAACCTTCTGGGAATTATAAAAGATTCCAAAACAGGCCTTAACATCACCTCAAAGTCATTCACAGAAAAAAATTGGCTTAAATCTAACTTAACAATAAATAAAAAACGTGTAAAATTATTTTGGCGAATAAACTTGGACATTAATATGGCATTTTTCCGGGAGTTCCCAATATCACTTCTAAAACGCTACTTCTTGAGCCCCTCAAAATAATTAATTGACAATTATGGTGTTATGAATGACTTGGAGGAAGGAAACAAACAAATAAAGAGAATTCTTATTTTATATCTATGGAGTGTCCCCTTGCTTTAAATTTGATCCATTATTTTTTTTTGTTACAGAGGGCAACGTTCAAGTCTATCTCCGGAAGCAGGTCCTGGATGGCTTCGATTATAAAAGAGTCTTCCGCAAGGGGAAATTAGTCACCATCAACTTGGACCCCAAGGGATACAACAAACATCAAGTAAGGCTGATAATCAGTTAACAATGAAATAATAAACAGTCTAGCTCCTAGATGGTCCTCTTATTACCCGCTGATACCGGATTGAGTTCCGGTGAGGTGGGGATGAAGCTAAACAAACAAACAAGTTAACAATCAGTGCGAAGGCTGGCTGCGGTCAGGCGATTTGCACTCTCAATGTTGAACTGAAGCCGGTGATTCGAATCCTCCCTAGAGGAGAAGGTGTATTTTGGTGGTGTACCTAATTGAATAGAGATGCCAAGGTTCGAGGGATTCATTATCACGTAACTACATAGATTGCTACTTATTTATATCCAGTCGGATGATACTTCAAATCTATAATACAAATGAGTAAAATCAGCTCTCAATGTTGAAGGTGAGGTTTAATCCTCCCGAGAGGGGGAAGGTAAATTATGGTCAATCTTCTCATTGACAAGATCCTAGATTTGAGGGACATACTATCAGGCTACTATGCCTATTTATACTGCAATTCTATCGAACCAAATGAACACAGAAAGAAGTTATTAAACATAACCAAAGCAAGCTATATTATTATTAATTATTATTTTGATTGTAGATATCTATTTAAAAAATGACATCTTTTATGATCATGGCTACAAATATGTTTTATTATACGCTTTAAATATTATATGTACAGAGAAAATATTTATTCTTTTATATATTTACTCTGCTTATTTCCTTAATAAAAAAAGCAGCTATAAAAAAATGCGCATGAAAAATTGGAGAATAATAATGTTATAATGCGGAAAAATAATCCATTTATCCAAAAAAAAAAATATTTTGTCGAGCAACTGAATATATCATGAAAAATATTATATATTGACTTCAATCCAATTGGCAGGGGACTTTCTGTGTTTTGGTATTCGAGTTTATGGCTTATTACGTTAACATATGTATAATAGTGCTATTTTGCGGGAAAATAATTTATTTATAAAAAAATAAAGTTTTTTTTTGTCAAGCAACTAAATATATTTCAAAAAATATTATACTTTATCTTAAATCCAATTGCCAGGGGACTTTATGTGTGGGTATTCGAGTTTATGGCTTATTACGCTATAATATATTATAATGATTTTATTTTGCAGAAAATAATTCATTT